CTCTAAGTCCTCCTCTGATGCCCTGCCGGCACTGCTTTCGGCCATCCTTAAGCCCGGTTCAGGGTCCACTTAATGTGGACATGCTAGTTCGAATTAGCAAAACGCTAATTTGAACTAGTTTTTAGTTCTAGACGCGTTAGTTTGAATTAGCTTAGTTCGAATTAGCGCTGTAGTGTAGACGTACCCACAGATAGAGAGGCTTCAGTGCAGCTAAGGGTGAGGGAGGCAGCTCTATGTGAGCCAATAGGCATAGCAAGCTGGCTTCCTGCATGTACTGGCTCCTGCCTGTCCTCATACTTTGTGCTGCTGCCTTTCTATCAGAGGCAAGCACCAGCGTGAGGGAGGAGCAGGTGAGGCACTGGGATCTGGCACTTGTGGGGAGCTGGCTTCTAAGCTGGCTCTCCCCCACAAGTTGGCTCCTACCTGCCCTCCATAATGCTTCTTCTGTGGGAGGCAGCAGAGCGGGGCAGGGAGCTCTGTGGGAACCAGCACATGCTGAGAGCATGTATAAGCTCCTGGGTGGAGCGTCCTTCTCTTCCCTCCTCCTTCCCCCCCGCACTGCTGCCTCTGATACAGTGGAGGGGAGGAGGGCATTGTGTGTAGTCATTTGGATTAACTGATAAGCCTAGACTTATCGATTGATCGTTTAAATTACTATACGCTAGCATGCCTAGTTATATTGATGCTTAGTAGAAACTGTGTTATTAAAGTTTGTCCAGTTCTTAACTGCAGTACTATTGATAGTATTCTTTAAATGTTGTGCATAAATTGGTACTTAAAATGATTTTGTGAAAGACCTTACACTTAATTTTGTCATCACAAGAACACAGGGTTCTTAACTATCTACAGAGTGGGAGGATTTTTTGGAATAAAAGAACACCTAATATAAGAAATAGGTGCAAATTTTAATGGATTTATATATAATTCTGAATATAAAACGGTATGGCTCTGATTCTTCATAAAATTCTGATTAATTGTATTTACTATGATTTCTGCATCTTAAATTTGTGTAGCTTATTATGCATTTCGCAGATATACAGGTTGAATATAATGCTTCAGTGAAGTTGGATTGAAGTTTCGAAGATTTGGGTTTTTGACAGGGTGCTGATCTGTTCTCTTTTAAAATGGTGTGAATTGGTAACTTTATGGCCTACTTGAAGAAGTAGTACTCTTGGCTATTTAGATTGTTGGAAGTTACAGCAAATAGTTTACTTCTTTTCAAAACCATTTCCTCCACTGTACTGTCCAGATGAAGATTATGGAAGAGATTCGGCCCCTCCAGCTAAAAAAATGCGTTCATCTCCCCGAGAGGCTAAAAATAAGAGGCGGCCTGGGAAGAATTCTCAGGAGGACAGGTAAGAAGTTGTTTCTGTTACTTCTGGTAGCCCAACACTAGATGTACCATGTAATTCACAATGATTGTAAGTCTTGTATACTTTATTTCACTGAAGCCTTCAACACTAGCTGGTATGGTGAGGCGTTTGAAGTGGTTCTGGTAAGAGTGAAGAAATGCTAGTCCTGGAACAGTCCCCTAACCTTACATCTAAAGCTCATTTATTTTAAGCTTAGGGTATATAGGCAACTCCAGTTAAATAGTATCCTAGTAGAAGGATTACAAACCTTCCAGTACTTGTTAACCATACATGTGGCCTCATTCTGTTTTCTCTGGTCTCTTATATGGGGGTCAAGACTTCTAAACTTTTGCATTTGAGTGTCTAGATTATGGATGTAAGTGACTAGTTGACTACCCGATAAGCATATGACTTGATTAGTTCCCCCCGCACAGCAAGAGGCCAGAGCAGGGGCCAGTGCTGGGGGGAGCTGGCTTAAAAGCCAGTCGTCCCTCTCTCCTTCCTCCTTCTCCCCCCCGCCCTCCCCAGCACGGTCTCCAGCGGGGGTGGGGAGCACAAAAGAGGCAGAGGTGCAGCAGGGAACCTGATGGGAGCGGGGAATGAGCTGATTCCTGGTTCGTGCCTGGTCCCAGATGCTGTGCCTTTGCTTTTTAATAGGGCTGTCAATTGATGCATGTTAATGCAGAGCACAATTAACACGTTAATTTTTTTTAACATGTTAATCACAGATGTTTCTGTGGCACTGCCCCCTTTGAAACGCTGCCAGGGCATTTCAAAGGTGCAATGCTGCACTGAGCCGTTGCGCTGTCCCTTTGAAATGCAGTGGCAGTGTTTCAGAGGGGCAGCGCAACGCGGACCCTGGGGTCACTGGAGTCCTCTTATTGTTTTACTACAAGACTAATCGTAATTCACTTTTTTAATTGCTTGACAGCCCTACTTTTTAAACCTCTTTTTAAATACCTTTAAAAGGCTGAGCCGAAGCAGATTTAGCTCCCAAGTTTGGGAGCTAACCCTGCTGTGGCTCTGTGGTTCCCCCCCTTATCCACTAATCAAGTAGTCAATTAACCACAATGTACATCCCTAGACTAGATAGGAGCCATGTCTTCAGCTGCCAGTCTTACAGATTTTATTTATGTGGCTTGAT